TATGTGTATATATATGCCTTTTCATATTCTGTTTCATTTTAGACCATTACAAGATATTGAATATGATTTCCAGTGCTATACAGTAGGACCTTGTTGTTTATCTCACTAATATATTTTTTAAAAGTTCTAGTGAGTTAGGGATTTTTAAGAACTAAAAAAAATGTGTTTGCAAAACTATTGTGAAACAAACATAAGCAGCAAAGTCAGAATTTGAGAGATCATAAAATTCGAAACAAAATACAATAATAATCATCTTATTGTTAAAAATGAAAGAAATGCTTTTACTTGCTCAAAATAACCTTAGTGTAAGTGGCTGTCACAGAATCATAAACTTTTGGTAATAGAAGGGACTTTAGAGTTTATTTCATTATAATTTGGTATGATGAAGAATTTTTAGGAGTGCTCAGTATTGTGATAAAAAATCCCAAAATACTTTTCATCATTAAATGTGCTAGGCTCTCTGAAGTGTAATAGAAATACATGGTACCATTTTATTACTCTGTTTATCTCACAACAAACAGCATGATAAATAAATATTATGTCACTACTCCTCTCTCCCCCACCACTAGCAGTCACTACTTGCTGAAAACTGCATATACTTGCTAAGATCTGGGAGTGGCCTCGAAATGCTTTTCAACTCTTTTCCTAAAATAGTCACTTCCTATTCATCTCAGTAGATGAAACTTACTGACCATCCTCTCCTCACAGTACAACAGTCTTCAGAGAGCTTCTGATCTTATCCAGTCACACACATTTTCCTCCAGAATTGTTCAATATACTACTACTGAATATTCCAGGTTCTCCTTAAACTGGCCTATGTCTTTTGAACAAACCCAAGAATATATCTTTCACATTGGTTAGCGAACAGATGGTATAACACTTCTAATAATTTTTAGGAATCCTTGATAAATTATTACCAATCCTAAAATTCTGAGTATAAGTTACCTAGTTTAGGAAACAACGCTGAATAACATTATTTAAAAATATTAAAAGAGTACGGCACATTTAGGTATATCTTTGGTACCCAGTATAGCAGTCTATCCATGCTTAATAAAGACATATTTTTTCCTTATTTTCCAACTTACTAAAGTAATTTGAAAGTCCTTCTAAAAGATCAATATGCTACTAACAAAATCCAAGAATAAATAGCATAAATATCTTCATTGTAATATTTTTTGCTTTCCTTAACTTCAAGCATAAAAGCCTTTCAGTAACCAATGTTAAGTTCTTAAAATAGACTACATTATCTTCAACCATGTTATCTCTTTCCATATGTCATAAAATGACAAAGTTTCCACGAGAATATCCGGAAATATACAAAAGGAGTCAGTAAGTGGTATTGTTTCCCTAATGCCTTCTGGGAGAGATGCTAAATTTGATTCTGATGTTTTCATGTAATATAATAAAATAGAAGAGGAAAAATTTTTTTCACTGTTAAAATTATCATGTTAGGATATACTATTGTTAAATTTTCTCTGATTTCAAGCACCATATAAATGTGTGAAAAGACAGATTATGTATTTAGACTAATATTCATTTATTCATTGAACAAATATTTTGAGTGCCTTCTAGATGTTAGTTGTTCCAAGTTAAAGTGATAAAAATCAAAACAAAGCAAACTCTTGCTGTGTTACGCAGCCTCTAAAGTGACCCCCAGTGATCTCAGCCTCCTGGTAGTCACAATCTTGTGTAGCCTCCTTCCCCAAGGGTTTGCTGGACTTAGTGATTAATTTCTAATGAATATAATATGGCAAAAGTAGTGGGATGCCATTCTGAGATTAGGTTACAAGGAAGACTATGATTTCTGTCTTGTTTGGACTCTCTCCTGCTCTTCAGGAGACTTACTCTGGAAAAAACAATCTGCCATGTTGTGAGCTGCACTATGGAGAGGACCATGTGGCCAGGAACTGACATCTCTGACCAACAGCCAGTGATGACCCGGGGCATGCCAACAGCCATCTGAGTGAACCTGGAAGTGCACCTTCTGAGTCTTCCCACATAGACTGAACTTGAAAGTGTATCCTTCCTCAGTTGAGCCTTGAGTTGACCATAGCTCTTGCCAATACTTTTGACTGACTGCAGCCTTGTAAGACACCTTGAGTCAAGGGCACCCAGCGAAGCTGTGCATGAATTCCTAACCCACAGAAACTTTGAGATAATAAATGTTTATTGTTTTGAACTGCTAAGTTTTGGGGGTAATTAGAAACAGCAATAGGTAACTAATACACTTGATCTCATTGTTTATTCTCAAATGTATATATATTTCTCCTTAGAGAAAACATTTTAAGAAATGGTAGATGTAACAACTAATGTGAACAGTATGGCAGTTCCTCAAAAAATTAAACATAGAATTACCATGTGACCCAACAGTTTCCTTCTAGATCTATACCCAAAAAATTGAAAACAGAGACTCAAACAGATATGTGTACACCTATCTTCATAGCAGCATTATTCACAATAACCAAAAGGTAGAAACCACAAAAGTTCCCACTGACAGATGAGTGAACAAACAAAATGGGATGTATACATACAATGGATTATTATTCAGCCTTAAAAAGGAAGAAAATTTTGCCATATGCTATAATATAGATGAAACTTGAAGACATTATGCTAAGTGAAATAATCATACAAATACTGTATAATGCTATTTACATGAGATTCCAGAAGTAGTCGAATTCATAGAGGCAGAAAGTAGAATGATGACTGATAGGGGCTGGGAGGGAGGAGAGAATGGGGAGTCATTGTTTAATAGGTATGGAGTTTCAGTTTGAGAAGATGAAAAGAACTCTGGAGATGGATTGCAGGGATGATTGCACAACAATGCTAATGTATTTAATGTCACTGAACTGTACACTTGAAAATAATTAAAGTGGTGAATTTTATGTTATGTATGTTTTTTAACACAGTCAAAAAAAGCAAGAACAAACAAAAAGAAATGGAAAAAGATGGAAAAAGACTAATGTAAAGGAAAACCATCATTTCAAGCCCACACTTTCCCTAAGCTCAGACAACTGAGGATGACTGTTGGAGTCAATTTCAAAGTGAGTGTGTTACAAGGGTTCTCAAAGTGGAATGTGCATGATCTTGGTGGTGATGGGAGACACCGATCATGCTTTCCACCATCAAGAAGGGTGAGAGTTGCTTGAATGCACAAGAAAATGATGAAATAACATTCAATAGAACAAGATAGTAAATATCTAGAAAGCACAGATAACAGAGCTTCCAAGCCAGTGTGGACATTGTGGAGATCAGATGGGCAAGTTAATAGAGAGCTATGGAGTGTGTTGTCTGGGAAACGTGCCTAAGCCTTGATGGTCACTAATGCAGTGGGGCAGTGGAAGCTCAGAGGTTATTCAAACTGTTTAAATTTCCCTGGACCACACTCTCAAGGAACTTATAAGAGTGGGGTGTTCAGGGCTAGACTGTCATGGCACTTCACATAAAACTGAATCTGTTGTATCACAAAGCCAGCAAAGACACAGAATGGGTGGTAAGGATATGAAGCCAGCGAAAGGGGGAGGAGAGAGAGAGAGAGAGAGAGAGAGAATGTATTCAGTCAGAGCACACGTGGTTCCATGTGTATCTGAGTATAGTATAAGGCCTTTGCTTTTACCCGCAGGTAAGATTTAGAAGGCAAAGGTAACCAGCAGGGTATCAGGCTGTCCTTGTCCTTCTCCTCCCTGGGGACTGCTTGGTCAGAACACACACTAGGCAAGCTCAGGGATAGTAGGTACCTCTCTAAGTCTAAGAATGAAAGTCTTCAAGTCTTGGTACCAATTTCTCTGATTCTAAGCTTTTTGGTTTCTTAACCATCTGAATAAAGGGTGAAAATGACAATAAAATTGAAAGGTTATATCATGATATATCTCTCTGTGTCTTTTGGGCTGAGTGATGTCTCAGTGGTAAATTCAGAGCTATGTGGTGACTGAGTGTAGGAAGAGCCTTTAAGCAGAGTGCTCACTGACAGAGTGGGGCTCAGGGGCACTTGCAAACAGTGTTACACTATTCTGAAGGGACAGGAAGAGAGCTAGGTGGGAGATTACAGTGGAGATCAGAATAAAGGGCAAAGGAAACATTTCACCCTCTCTACCAATGACCTACCTCTTTTCATCGTTTGTACTTCACACTTGAGTGTTATTTGTATTGCCAATACTGACATTTTGATAATTAATAAATATTTGATTTAGACCATATCAGTAGACTTGTGAAGTGAGGTGGACCATAAATTTGTTCTTCATCCATTTATACTGTTAGGTGTTTACAGGACACCACAAGTGATCACAAGGACACACAGATGATTACAAGTAAAGCATTTTTCCTTCTACAGCTTGAAATAAAATGGGAGGAAATAAATATTTGCCTTGTAATGTGAGCAGTAGGAGACAGAGGTGTGGAAAGGGCAGAAAAGTGCTTGTGGGGTGAGGGAAGCCTTGCTGGAAAAGGTAAGTGTTTGCTAAAGAACAAAATTCAACTGAGTACATTTTAAACATATTATTAGTTTTCTTCAGAAATTCATGAAGTGGACAGCATCCATTCTAGCAAACAGAATGGAGGTCTGAAGAGCTGTCCATGGTGAGAGATTTTTACAGAACAAAGTGAGCAGGAAGCAGGAAGTTACACTGGGTATTTGCTGATTGGTTAAAGCAGGGCTCCTTTCCTTATACACAGCAAAGGCAAATATTGGAGACTAGTTAGGTAACCCAGACTGAGCAGGCAAATGCTGATTGGTTGACTTGGGTCTTCCTTTTCTGGGATTGCTGAGCATGGAACTTAGTTAAATTTTTTTCTTTTTTTTCTTGCTGACAAACCTCACTGTGAGGTTTAGCTTGAGTGACTCCATCTTGGTCCTGACCCGGTTACTCCAACATATGAAACAGTCTTGAATAGGTTCTAGCTCATGGAGAAGCAGGGGGATGTGAGAGAGCATGAAGCAAGCAGGCATGTATTTTAACACTTCTCTAGCCCTGGATATGGATGGGAGAGGATCTTGAGATATGTCAAGAGAGGTATGTAGATGCCAGACCCTGCTGGGCTCCGTGTGCCTGGCCGTGTATCCTTGCAGACAATGGAGGCTGTAGTGATGGGAGTGAGCTGATCAGATTTATATTTTTTGTTGACTACTATAAAGAGGAATTGTTCAACTATAAGTGGTAATAATTCCATGAATTATATGGACCTCCTCCCTCCACTTTCTCCTTCTCTACCTTCATACTTTTTAAGGTCAGCTGTGATTACTAGATGTAGATAGTTTTCACTGCACCTCACTCCCTGTCCACCCTTCCACCCACCTGGGAAGATGTAGAGGATTATGATTAAATTAGAGGTAAAAAGGATACATAAAATAGCTGATTTATTTGTAAAAAATTATTTAATAATACTATGATTTTTTAAAAAATTGATCTTTGGAGACAAAAATGATCTTTAGGGTTCCTATATTTTCAAACCAGAAGGAAGTAGAAAATGCATATTTTCTTTCTTTTCTTCAATTTTAAGTTCTCCATCTTTTCTTCTATTGTCTTCTTTCCTCCTCCTGAATATCTTACGCATTATTATTTTTGTTTTCAACTATTTTTGAAATGTTATCAAATTAATGGTGATAATGTGAAAGTTTTATTTATAGAACAGATAACCACAAAAAGGTTCAATATTTCATAGATACTGGGAAAAATTACATTTGTTTCCTTAGATTACTTAAGCGTATCTTTAGACAAGCCAGTTTGGTTCCATTAATTGCATGCTAGTTATTGAATTATTGTAAAAACAAGATATTTGTATTATAAAATGGAACATAAAATATAGCAATTTCCCTACAATGAAAATTCCCTACTATTAAAAGTAACATAATCACCAAGGTAAAAGTAGCTTGAAATTTTATAATATGAAGATTTATTTCAGGATGAGCCTGAGAAAGATTAGTTACAGCTGAATATTTTGAATTATTTGATAGAATTTCTGTTCTTCTTAGTTTGGAATTGATTCCCAGGAATAGTGTGGGTGGAAAATCAGTTTGAAGAGTATATTCCAAAAATCTTTCCCAAGATCCAGGGAAGAAATATATTGCAAAATCCAGTAGCAATAGTAAAGCAACAAAGAAAACCAAAATAACAAAACTAAAATCCTAGGCATATCTGAATTAGTTTCAGGCTGAAGACGAAGTCTTTGTTTTTCAAGAGCATATATCTTCCTTGCCGGAAACTGTGATTTAGGCACTTTCCATGCACTTCTATTTTTCATTTATTAGGTAATGGGCTTGGGGATAAGTTCTACATGCTAGTCACTATACACAGGTGCCCTTATAGAGCTAAAAGTTGAATGGAGGACACAGACCAGAAGAACTAGAAATGAGAACTGAGAAGTTTCCATTGGATACAGTAACGAGGAAGTAGAGTTGGTCGGAGCTGCTGCTTTAGAGTGTTTATCATTGTGTGGTTTGAAGAAAGATGGGTGGAGAGATTTTGGAGACCAACTGTAGACATTTTCATCAAGTTTGGGTCTGAAGGTTGAAGAGGGAGGGGAAATGAAGGTTTATAAGTAGACGGAAGACTTCTGTGTTTCAAGATTTAAGAGAGTTAAGCTTGTTCAAATGCTAACCAGAGGGAATCAGAGGAGAGAAGGTTGAAGATGCTGGAGAGGGAATCACAATATGTAACTTGTGTTTGTGAATAAACAATAAAACTCATGGGTTAGTAAGGCTAGAGGTTATACATCACTTCTGAAGTAGAGAACAGATTGAGTATCCTTTGGGATTCTATTTTTAAGCAAGACTACTTGAGTTAGATGGTAGGCCTTTCCTACCACACCCCTCCTTACTTCTCTACCCAGATTTCTATAATGTGAAAGTTGGGGAGGTAAAAATCACTGGAAAAAGGGCCATTTTTTGCTATAGACTCTACTACCCTCTGTTTCCCCTGTAAAGTCTATCATGACTGGACCTAAAATAATTACTTAAAAAAACAGAAGCAACATATCTGGATTAGGGGAGTATGATTTTCTGAAGACCCTTCATGTATTTCAAATGATTTCAGTGGGGAAAAAAAAGTGAAATTATACCCTTTTGGAATGATAACTTTTCAGGATGTGAATCTATAGTTTACCTCTTGTATTCTGTTTTCCTATTCCTTTTGTCCATTTAAGGAAGTATTTATCTATCGTGGACATCAAACCAGGCATGAGGAGGTTGGAAAGGAGATGACTAGTCTGTCAGGGCTTCACTTTCTAAAAGCCTAAGTCTTTAAAAGGATTAGGAGGGATGACGGAGGAGTTAAAAGGGGATTCATGGATACAGACATGACTTGAACACTTATTGGAGACTGGTGTTCCTTCCAGTCTGGGAAGATTTCTCCATGCTTTAGAAGTTCAGGGAAAATGCTGAGGAGGAAACCTCTGGGTCCTGAAATTAAAAATCACCATTCCCTTATCTCACAGCACTGCAGGTGAGACTGCAAGATCTAAGGGTAGAATGACTCACTGGGGACTTGGCAGGTGGGATCACGGGCAGCTTCAACAAAGTGCCCCGTGTGACCGCTGAGCTTGGCTTAGAAGCAGCAGAGCCACGAGGGCTGGCTGGGTCATGCAGCAGGAGCAAAGGGTAGCTCGGCAGAAATTTGTGATGACTGAAGTCCAAAGATGCCCGCAGAGCCTCAAATGCCTTAGTACTGGTTTATTTCAAAGTCGTTAGAAGAATTCTGCTTGGCATGCTCTTACTGTTCAGAAGAGACATCTGTTCTCAATCTGGTGAATTTTGCAGGACAAGAAGGACAAGCCCCACAGAGAGACATAAAGAAATAAAGAATCAAAATCTTAGAGGTGCGACTCTTCCCCAAACTGTAACCACCATATTCATACTGAAGTTTTCACTTTGGACTCACTTTTAAATATAGA